TATTTATTCTTAACTTTCAGGACCACGAACATTTTTTCATTCCGAATTCGGAATATATTCCGCAAAAAAATAACGCTGGGGGCAGTCCGGTTGGCGGCTTTCACCAATTCGGTGGCAATGGGAAAAAGTGGACGGGGTAACACCAAACCGTATCACCAATTCCGGTGTTGGAAAGATTAATTCTAGAAGCGTTTTTTACTTTCACCAATCCAGAAATCACCAATCGGCCATAGCATTACGGTATCGTCTGCTTTCTTTAAGAACAGTTACGTCCCTACGGTAGCAGCTGGTGTCCTGCCGCTCGCATACGTCTTCGTCTTTCAACTTGAGACCATTTCGGTACTACAAAAACCGCTGAAGTGGTTTCGGGACGCATACGCTTGCAGCGCAGGTAATGCTTATGCCAAAGCTCAATTTTGGTGTATGGGGGTTTGAATCCGGGCTGAGCAGCTAGCCAGACCAAGAACCGGGACGAGAAACCCAAAACGCGTTCGTTACAGTACAACTAATATGGACAAGGCACCGGGGACGCGGACATATGGTTGGGGATAAGAGATGCCCAGCCTGCCTGCCAGAGCCCGCATGCTACTTCGTGCGGCCCTTCCGGGCTACCGTGCTCTTCCGCATTGGTAACCTGCAGGCAGCCGACGGCCTCGCTTGGGTTACTTTGGCCCCACGCCTAACCCAGCGAAACATCCCCCGTGCCTCTAAACTAAAAGGCTGGCCTCTCACAAAACCAGGAACCCAAAGTTCGGAAGGGAGGGCGGGTGGGAAAGAAAAGGACGTCAAATTCACACCGCTGACCAAAGGACAATAACAGCGGCAGCTAGCAGCTGTTCTGGTAAAGAGGGCTCGTATCAACTAGTAGCCGAGTCCGAGATCGTCCGGAAGATAAATCGACAAGACTAAACACCACCGATCAAATAGCAATTCAAACTACAACCAACTAACTGCACCGTACGACGCCGCTCTGACGCCCCTCTTCAAACCACATTTTCGGCTACGCCTAAAATAAGATATTTGCCCAGACAAACTCGCCAGAGACATCGGAGGTCAAAAACGAACTTGATAGGGAGGCAAAGCGTGTACAAAGACTATTGTCGCCAGAGTTGTTACAAGCAGTGTCAAAGGTGAACTGCCGTCCCAACATGTTCTCCACGTTACGAAACTCGCCCGGGAGGAACATGTGATCACAGCTAAGCGGATCAAATACGGGCAACAAGGACTCTCTGATTTGCAAGCTAGCCGAGTCCTTAGGACATTCCGGTTGCTCACAGCCCCCAACACTCGCTTGCCGACCCGCTAATCAGCCATGGTAT